GGTTGCAGAGCTGCTTTTTTCTTCTCAGTAGATCAGAGTGGGAGTGCTCAAAATATCAGAAAAAGGTTAAGGATGATCAAGCTATCTGATGGTACATAGCTAACCCAAGTATGTATATGTGTGCTCTGTTCATACTTTAAAGTGTGGAGCTCTCTGAAGTATTTTTATGTCCTTGCCTAGTCTGTACATTTGTTTATTTTTTTCCTAGATAGAATAGATGAAATCAAACGATATTATCATGGCAGGGCATATTCCATTCTCACCTCCACCAATGCAATGTGAAATCAGGTGACATGAAGAGGTGTACTGATAGTATTGTCCCCCTAATTTCATATTTAATTTCATGTTCTGCATTTGAGCAGAGAGGATGATGTCTAGTCAGGAAGGTAAAATCAGTTTAGGTTATCCATTTATGCTAAAGTTGCCTACTGCCTAAATTGCAGGAATTTGATGATTTGTGGTCTGAACTGTTTAAAATCACTATAACTTTATACTCTTCTGGTTACCCAAGGCAACTACACTAATTATTGATGTTCTCGGATGCCCTTTAGTTAATATCATAATTTTATGGTTATCTTGTTAAAGGACCACAGAATGCTAGTGAAAATGCAAACAGAATGCAATAGTTTGATAAAATTCAATAAATGTATGTCAGTGTGAATTCATAAAATGCTGCAGTTCTATGCAGAATTATTAAAATCTGTATATTACTGAAATCACCACTCGAAGACCTTTCCAAAAGTGCCAGAAGCAATATTATATGTGTATTTTTAACCTTTATACAGACAGCAGGAGCACTGTCAACCGAATTTGCATCTCATAGCTGGAACCAGCACCACTGCCTACTGCATAATGAAGTATCAGAATAACAATAAGTTACCTTGACATATGAAAATGTTTTCTTTTCAAACTATATAAAGCAAATAATTTTCTCATTAACAAATCAACAGCTTCTTTAGGATTTGTTACTCAGGATCATTTTGAATTTTGGGCTTTGAGCACATAGATTGATAATATTATGTTTATTTTCAATTACATAAAACATTCCCTATGACAAGGAAAACACACTTTGTATTAGCCGCTTCTTTAATAAAAGAAAGCACCCTAAACTTGCACCGAAAAACACAAAAAAACAATAAAATTCTTCTGTGTTGTTGAACTCAGTTTCAGGTCATGATAAGATACTACATTGATCAAAACTTACAAAGGTAATCTGTAAAAATCTGTGTGGGAGAAACTCTGATTGAGCTAAGCTTATATGGGAAGCCAGGTTTGTAGGAAGTGCAGTAGATGCTGTTAATATACTGAGATAAGACTTAAGATAGTGAAAATACTCTGTGCTAAAAACGTTACCGTCTTTTTCAGTCATAGCAGTTTAGTAAACAGTACTGTACCAAGCAATACCAAAAAAAGAATGCTTACCATTGCTCAATGAACCAAAGATACGTATGAACAAAGAGAAGACTGACAGTGAGTGTAAGGGTTTAATCCAAAGATCATTTAATTTCAACGAATTTTCAATTGACTTTAATGGGATTTGGATTTATTTTCTCTGGAAATGCATACATGTAGAAGGTCACAAGCATGAAACTTCTCTGTAAACACATTTACATATAAGCTATCTGGAATTCTAACACTCTTTGGAAGTTTAAGTCTTTAGTATCACATATGCTTATATACAGTTTTCTGTATGGTAACAGTGAAACCCTCTGCACATACATAGTATGTTAGTATTAATCTGCTAATGTGTGAAATAGTATATTCATATCCAAATGCTTTCAGCTTCTCTGCTTTTTGCTCCTATTCAAATTCTTGAAAGTATGATAAAGGAGATAAAACTTTCAGGTTCCAGTAGCTTTCGAATAAATCTGTATTTATGCTAAAACATCTGTGCTTTCCGGTCAAACAATGTTCGGACTGCTACATACCCCTTATTTTATACTGCCTCTCAGAAGGGAATCATCTTGGGAAGTATTATCCCCAAGACAGAATTGTCTGCATGTTCTGTACAACTGTACAGAGCAGTATAATTCATGATAGAAATATTTTATCACAACTGACAAAATGTATAGGCTGCAAAAGTGTGTTGAAAATCATTTGTAGCTGCTTAAAAAACCTCAAACTTCTAGTCAATTATGGTACAGCATTAGTGAGGACATGATGACAATGAAGGATCATGATGATTTGGATGATAGTACTGTCTGAAAGGATCAGGAATTCCACTGGACTTCAATAAGTATTTTAGACCATATAATTTCAGCAAATAATAATTAGTATTCATTCATTCAAACTAATCTGGTAAATTCAGATTAATGACAATGGGAAATATTTTGCATCCCATAATCATTATATCTGTGATGCCAATTTATATTTTTATCATTTCTAAATAACAATGAAATCCATATCCACGGCTCGGGAGAAGTGCATGAGTATGTGAGAACATGAATTAACTGTACTAATATGTTGATAAACATTTCATCAGTTATAAATAGTGACACTGAAGCTGAATAGGGGACTCTAATCAAAAAGGAGCAAGAAATAGTACTAAATATGTAATATGGATCATACACTGATGCTGAAAGTAAAGTGGCATAAAATGAAAGAACAAAGTTGATACTGTATGCATTGTCTATTTATTCATTTGTTTATGATTGATCTATATAGAACAAATTGTTTCCAAGTAAAAATGCTTATGTACCTCCAAGCAGTGACTCTGATATCTGTACCTTAAGGACAAAGAAAGGTCGCCAATCTCTCCAACTCCTAGTTCTTTGTCAAAAATGGACACGGTTAATGAGGTTTGTTTGGTACAGCACAAATTCTCAGACACAGATAGAGATCCTTTCAATGGAAACAAATTTGTTTGGCTTTACCAGGTTACTTAGCGATTAATAATAGCCTTGAGATGCAGGTCAGAAAGGTCATCCTCCCCGCTTGCCAGCACAATCTAAAATGTGCAGCTAGTCCGGCTCAGCAGGCTTTGAGGCCCCAAAACGCTATGCATAAAGTAAAACAGGCTATTTTCCAACTTCTTTTTTTCATATTAATAAGCAATTTTCAAGAGAAGGGTGGCAAAATGGGGGCCATGCCACTCTTAAGTAATTCATTTATTTTGCAATTTAATCTTATGTTGGAAAAAAATTACACTGCTGCAAAAGCATAGCATGGTGATTTTTAAACGTCAGTGTGCTTCATAAGTAACCTTGTGTGAAATATTGTATTAGCAGCCTTTAACAGTAAACTGCAACAAAAAGTGTGTCCAGAGAGTGAAACAGACCTATAGGTCTTTTCTGATTCTTTTTTTTTAATTCTGATTTTTAATTTTACATCTGAATAAAACATGTTCAACTGCTTAATATTTTACTTATTTTAGTTCATGGAAAAAAATTGAAAGACAGCTTGAAACAAAAATTCTACATTGCAACTTGTATTTAGGGATGTGATTTCATGGGGTTCATCTTTATAAAGCACTTATTGCTCTTTCGCATGTTTTGAGGAACTAATATAGATTTCGGATAATTAAAATATCAAGAATAAGTCTGAATCACAATTTTAAAACCACTTTCAGGAGCAATATGACTTTCCCATGGGATTATTCATATCAGCAAGTTTATCCATGTGCATATTTTGACAGGATTCGACCCTTGTCCTTGAGTGTCTTATTTGGTACTCACTGAAACAACTGACACTACAAATGTGGACCTCTCTAAATAATCTGTTTTGTGGGAATACTGGAATCACCCAAATATGTGAATACTGTATTTTTCTTTGCTTTTTATTTCCTCATAAACACACATGCTTAAAAAAAAAAAAAAACACTAGAATTTACTCACTTAATTAACTTTTAAACAATCTAAATGCTTGACTGAATATGCTTGGTGGCTTTGGCATACAGGTTAATTTGAACTAGCTATTTCATAATAACCAAAATAACAGATGTTAATCAAACTAACCTTTTTTAACTGGGTCAAAAAAATTCCATAACACCTGCACTATGCACAGTAGCATGGAATTTTGTTTCCTACAGAACATTCATTCACTCAACTCTGCATAATTAATGGCAAGCCTGGCTCTATGAAAAAAAACATTGAGGAGGAAATCTACAGCCATTTGCTGTGAAAGTTTTTCTCCAAACATTCAGTTAACATTGTGAGTTTTCATGTTCTTTGTGAGCTGGTATTCAGTACAGTTCCTTCTTTCTTTTACAGTGATATAATTTTCTATGACTGAATATTTCTGAATACACAGACCTATCCCTTTAGATAACACTATGTGTTTGCAAGCCTCTGTCATGCAGTGGCTCATGAGGAATTTACATTCATGTTTCTAGTGGTGGCCTGTACTGTTGCTGTCACATCTGTGTAAGAAGCCTAATGCCATGGAAACTCCTCTAAAGGACATTGCACATGTAAAAGGTTTACATCGAGTTCTGTATGCCTACACTCTCAGCATTGCAGATGGCTCGAGGATCTAGGAGTGTATGTCAACTCTTATCCTGTGTTTACTGTCCTCTCTCATTCTATAAGATCTTCTCTCTCTGCAGATCAGAAGGAGGCATTGCAAGGTATTAGCTGAAACATAAGTGAACAACTTTTATTTTGAAACCATTTGAAGGAAAATCACTAAATTATAATAATTTGTGCTTAGAGAAGTTCAAACTGAGATGATGCTGAAAGATAAAAAAAGGACATAAATGAATGCTGTTTTATCAAGCTATAAAAATACATACATTAGCATATTCTTCGAAAGAGTAAGCAATATGAACTAAATATACTGTTCATAGTTTTTATCATTTTAATCCTGTTTCTTCGCAGTTATATCCATGTAGAATCCTGCTGTTGTGCAACTGAATGAACTGTAATTTTACATTCCAGTAGTGTTAGTATACTGTTAATACATAATAACAGAATACTGTGATGCTATAAAAGTGTTGAAGTAAAATAAAACATGAGCACAGCTTTTATTGTTGTAGTATAATTAGCAGACATATTTTATTACAGGGGTGAACTGCAAAAGTACACAGAAATGATGGAAAATGAAGAGAAAAGGAAAGACCTGGAAAAGAAAGGAAAGAAAAAGAAATACCAAGCCCGAAAGATGCATTACCTCCTTAGCACCAAGCAGGTTGGTGTACCTGTCCCTGACAGCTCATGCAAACCACTTGGGCCCCCAGCCTGACAGAGATAAACTAGCAGGCTGAATGGGACATGACTTGTTGAAAAGATAACACAAAGACACTACTTCGAGTTCAATTTAGTGCTTTTCTATAGGCCAGAGCAGGTACCATGACTATTCTGTGACAGTAGCTTCATAGAGGCAGCATCAGCACTGGTGGCAGAAAGAGTCCAAGTCAGCAGTTTGATCTGCCACTGTGATAACACAACATGAAGGGCATAACCTCGCTTTAAAAACTCATTTTGACTGGCTTATTGTTGTGTTGTTGCACTTGTCAAGAGCTAACAAGTTATTAAGCTGTGAAGGGATTTAATTTTTTTCCTTTTTTTTTCTTTTAATTGAGCAAATGCTGGGATTGGTGCTGTGTTCTGCTCGGGTTTAGGATAGATTGGAAGTGCAGGTTTTCAACTGAAGCTTTTCCTAGGGCTGCCTGAATCAGCTTATTTAGCATGATTGTTTTCATATAGAAATGCCTCATAAATTTCAAGTATTTCTGCATTAATTTGCTTTGTATTGATAAAAGTGGTATATTTTTCTAAGCTTTCTTCCATAGGCTGCTTTACAGACAGTTAAATATGGTAGTAGATATATCTTAGACAAAATGGATATGGCTGGTAAAGCTTGTGAGTTTGCTTTATTTAGTCCCCTTTTGTGAACTTATAAAAGATTTTGTGTCCGTAAGTGTTCAGTGACTGGTTGTTCTTCAGATGAATTTATATGCAATCAGGGAATGCTGGTATGATCTAAGTGTCTGCTTTTCATAGGTTGTTAATTGAAATCTCTGTGTAAGAACTGTTAATTCTAAACAACGCAGGAAAAATACCATGACACTTAGTGACAAAAAACTTAATCTTTCTGTCTGAGAATCAATTGTGATCTATCCAATAAATAAAAATATAGTATAATTAACTGGATATCAGTTATGAAAACTCATTTTATAAATCAAATTTAAGTTATTTTATTAGAAAAAGAAAACATAGTAAAATATTATTAGAGTATAGCATGACAAGTTTTCTGAGTGGCTTTTAGATAGGGGAGCTAGTTAATAACTGAAAATAGTTCATAATAATTTATTTGTCCAAATACAGATCTAGAATACTAAGAATAATCTGTGCAGTGTTTTCATAGCGTTATTACTGCAATTCCCTCCCCTTCCTGCCGTGCATAACAAGGTGCAGATGGAGCTGAGCCACCTTATGTATCAAGGCTGCAGTTGTTCAGGCAGGTTATATGAGCAGCATTGCAAAATACATATTTGCAATAATTGTTTCAAATGTATGCGATTGATAGTTTTGAATCTTTTTGTTTTTCCACAAGCAAAAAGAGTGAGAAAAGGGTGTTTACTTGTTGACAGAAAAGAATTAAGGAGTTGTTGCTTCTCAGTTCTAGTCAAGAAGGACATGTCAAGTCCCATTCTCCACTCCCTATAAGCTGAAGCCAGGAAACCCATCTCAGAAGTGTTACAATTTAAACAGGGAGATTATCAAACATCACAGTATTGCAGAATGTAGCAGATGATACAGTGATCCTTTCTGGCCTTACAGTCTGTGAATCCTTTATTGACTACAGAATTTGCTCTTCTTATTCCACAGGTAATATAGGTATTCATCATATTACATATATGTGTGTGTGTGTGTGTGTGTGTGTGTATAGATTGTGCCCATTCCTGATTGCTAGCATTGTTTTACATGTCAAAAAGTAAAAACCAAGAGTGCTAGTGTCATGAATGTATGTCTAGTACGTATGTAATAACATGGACTATGATGAAGTCAATGTGTTTTGTCTTTTTCATTAATTAACTTGCTATTCAAGCATTTAGTTACTGCATAAACTGTTACCTTTATAAAGAAAAAAATGAGGAAGAAATGGGTATCAAACTCTAAATTAGTATGCATTAGTTGTTGTTACTGGTAGCAGGTATATACACATAGTCATACATAGCCAGATGTGAGCTTGCTTTGATTACTTTCCAAGCCAATCTGCAGCTATAACGTGGGGCTCAACACAAACCAATCGGCCCTGTTGAGAGCTATGGTATATTAGCTCAAGAACAGACAGCTTACACAGCTCCTGATCAGCTCGAAATAGGGGCAGAATAAGTGTGCATATGCTTTAAACTCAGGAGGAAGGAGTTTGATCTGCCTACAAGGTATTATATAGGCACACCTACATTTGTTTTGCCTGCAGTCTCCCACATTTTTGAAGGGGAGGTGTGTGTATATTGAGTACCATTGCTATGAGACTGACATTCAGGGAAATCACAGAATCATAGAATCATAGAGTGGTTTGGGTTGGAAAGCACCTTAATATCATCTCATTCCAACCCCCCTGCCATGGGCAAGGGCAGGGATGCCTCACACTAGAGCATGCTGCCCAAGGCTCTGTCCAGCCTGGCCTTGAACACTGCCAGGGATGGAGTATTTACCACTTCTTTGGGCAACCTGTTCCAGTACCTCACCACCCTTACAGTAAAGAACTTCCTTCTTATATCTGACCTGATCTAAAATCATTTCATTCAGATTTTAATTTTTAGCAAAGAATTTTAAGGAAAAGAAAGTTAAAACAAGGTATTCATATAATCAATGATTACTAATAGTAGTAATTCTAATTGACAGTTACTAATGATATTAATAATATAATTACCAATTGTCTTTCTGTGAAAGAACAATGTTATGCATCCTGCCAACTTGAAAACACAATTTTTTGCTTTACTAAAAGCACACTTTTTTTTTCCAGTAGTACCAGTTGTACCCATGCAACACAAATACAACCCAATTTGTAGGCATAAAAGTGGGCTTAAAAAAAAAGAAGGTTTTTTTTTTAATTTAAATTAATTTAGTTGCCAAATAATGTCTGGAGAAATAAAGCCTGAGCTCTAAAACATCATGGTTATGAAATACTGAGCTTTTAACCAACTTGCTATATAGGCCAGTAGTGTCAAAACCAACTCCAGTAGCATCTTACACACATGAGATTCTTTTGTTTGATTCCTATAATTATGAAAAAACAAAACCCAAACCCAACAGTCAAGTCTGTGCTCTTCTTATCAGGTGGTGAATTATGTTGTCCTTTCATTCACTGGTTGCTTGTTGCAAGAAATTCCAGTGTAAAATACAGCAGGAATAGATCTGGAGGTGGCAACTGCCCAGCTAAATCCCATTTTCAAACTAAGATTCTCTCTATTTCAGATTCGAAAATGTATGTATATAAAGCAATATTTCCCTTGTCTGTTTTTACCTTAACAGCTTGATAAATTCCAGCTTCATGATGGACATGATAAAAATTGCAGTACAAATTTAACAAGCCTTTGTCTTTGTAAAGAATATTTCTTCTCATTCCTTATCGGTTATCACATGGTAGAAATAATAGTGGTGTGGTTTTTTTGGTGAGTTTTACCTGGTTGATCATGAACTGCATTGCAATTTCTTATTGCAGCACGAAACATATAAAGTTTTTCTTATTAGTCCATACTAACAATATGCTATTGCTACTACAGTGGTAATGATCCCTTTTTTAGTTGTCATTAACAAATGAGCTACTTATTAAACGTGGTTTTGTATTATAAACATGTTTACTTATGTAGATTATTCTTCTATGTCCCTGTACATCCCCTTTAAATAATTAAATAGGTTCTTACTTCTGCTCTTTGTCATATTCTCAAGGCTGACATTTGTAGGAAGGGCCATCCTTTGCAAAGTGCTAACAAATGGCCTTTAAAGTCAATGGAACATAGAATTGCTGAATAAATTGGTGGCACTTGGTGGAAGTTGGTATGAAAAGCTCACATCTGGTGGATCATGTGTTTGCATGATTCTTGTCATTGATATTTCCAACCTTCAAAAAACCATAACAGATGTAAACATCTAAGACAGTGAAAAGTTCTAATTTCAACAATGAGAACTGAATTTTTCAGTTCTTTCTCTGTGTAACACCCATACTCCATAAGCAATTCTACTTTAGGGTAATAGGAGTCATTTACCAGACTTATGTGGACTCTTGATTAGGGCTCTTGAGGATAAAGGTAGCAAAAACATGCCCCAAGATTACTTTTTAGCTTTTGTTTCTCAAATCAGTTTTGTTTTGATTTTCTTTCGTTATTGTCAAACTCAAAATTATAACACCTGAGTCAGTTGTATCAGTCTGTCAGTTCATAGAGTTAAATATTTAAAATTCAAATTCTATTCAATGCTGGGGTATTTTTTAATTACATTTTTCCTATCAACAGAAATGGCAATTTGTAAGAATTACACTGATTGTGTATGTCCCCTTTGTATGCTACTGGAAATCAGGAGTTAATTCTGTTGAATTCAGGTGTAAATGTTCTAAGTGAGGAATTAAAAAAAAACCACAAAATCCTTCCTGGAGCAGGTTAATGAATATTCAGAAACCACAACTGATTTATATGCTTCTAACCTAATGTGCTGTCCTGTAAGAACTTGAAAACAATTGGTCTGAAATGACACTGTTTGACACCCACTCTGTGTGCGGACACCTGGCAGTTTTATTCTTATAAAGGTGAGGACTCAGTGGATAAAGCTCTGGCCTTTGATCTTCAGATCCACAGTTTAAGAGACAAGGCTGCAAGTTTGGTCATTTGAGCTCAGTCCCAAGTGAACAGTCCACATCACAAAATGATTATACGTAATTTGTTACTGCTGGCAGTGTCTGTTCAGGAAAGACCAAGGACTGAGCTAGCATGAAGAATGAATTAGCTGTTACCTTTTACATTTTATTTCCTCCCTCTTTACTGTTGTAATTTTGTTATCCTGTCTCAAAAAACATTCCAGGGATGAAATTATCGTTCATTATGACTACTGATACTTCCTGAAGATGAACTAAAATGGTTAATTTTTGATTGTTTTTTAATGTAGGTTTCCCAATCACTGCACGTCCCCACCTATCCATGGGTGTTTAATATACACTCATCACTTCTCTGCCAAGAAGTCTGA